CTCCGGGAAGACACCTCACAAGACCACCACTGTCCATCTCCACACCTCTTATGATGGAATTCCCCAACAACAACTGCTTTCTATTAGTCCTCACCATAGTCTCCAAGCCTGTCTCCATAACACCACTAGCCTCAGTGCCTGAGCCTGTCTCCACAACACCACTAGCCTCAGTGCCTGAGCCTGTCTCCTCAACACCACTAGCCTCAGTGCTTGAGCCTGTCTCCACAACACCACTAGCCTCAGTGCTTGAGCCTGTCTCCACAACACCACTAGCCTCAGTGCCTGAGCCTGTCTCCACAACACCACTAGCCTCAGTGCCTGAGCCTGTCTCCACAACACCACTAGCCTCAGTCTCCACAACACCACTAGCCTCAGTCTCCACAACACCACTAGCCTCAGTCTCCACAACACCACTAGCCTCCGTGCCTGAGCCTCTCTCCACAACACCACTAGCCTCTGTGCCTGAGCCTCTCTCCACAACACCACTAGCCTCAGTGCCTGAGCCTCTCTCCACAACACCACTAGCCTCAGTGCCTGAGCCTCTCTCCACAACACCACTAGCTTCAGTGCCTGAGCCTCTCTCCACAACACCACTAGCCTCAGTGCCTCTCTCCACAACACCACTAGCCTCAGTGCCTCAGTGCCTCTCTCCACAACACCACTAGCCTCAGTGCCTGAGCCTCTCTCCACAACACCATTACACTCTGAAAGTGCAGAAAATGAATTATGTAGAGCAACAGACTGTGCAATTTATACACAACTCTAAGTCTACCAGATCCTACAGTAATCCATCTGCCATTCCTAGTATGTCTCTGCGGCAGTGGCTTTGCAGCAGTTCCAGCCTGAGTTTGTTTACCAGATAATTTACAAATCTCACTTCAAAAATACAATCTCCTGCCGCAAGATAGAGAACTGTCAATAGATTAGACAACAACCAAACCTCCAAAAAGTGGAACGTGAAACAAATGCATAGCAACTATTACACTGAACTAAGTCTGCCATTCCAATGAGGTGAATAATTTAAATCAAACAAATCTTAACTTTTTATTTATCCTCCTGAATACCTCAGATTACCTCCAGAATATCTCCAACCACACACTTAGAAGCAGCAACCAAGCTATATTAGCCAAGCTAATGACAACAACCCTTATATAACTCCTAAAATCACCACCCAGTAGGAATGTTTAATACCTGGGTAGGCCTCTGCTTATTTGCAAACAATAGCTAATTAAACAGCAATCAATAGCAAGTAGCTAACTAATCAAATCAAATGCCTTATAATTACCAACAGGAAATGAAAGGACCACTCTAGGCATCCAGACCACTTCAGCTTAATGAAGTGGTCTGGGTGCCTGGTCCAGCTAGGGTTAACCCATTTTTTCATAAACATAGCAGTTTCAGAGAAACTGCTATGTTTATAAATGGGTTAAGCCTTCCCCTATTTCCTCAAGTGGCTGTCTCATTGACAGCCACTAGAGGCGCTTGCGTGCTTCTCACTGTGATTTTCAGTGAGAGCACGCAAGCGTCCATAGGAAAGCATTGATAATGCTTTCCTATGTGACCGGCTGAATGCGCATTCAGCCAACGGGGAGGAGGATCGGAGGAGGAGAGCTCCCCGCCCAGCGCTGGAAAAAAGGTACGTTTTACCCCTTTCCCCCTTCCAGAGCCGGGCAGGAGGGGGTCCCTGAGGAAAACGAGTATGTTCTTTAAACCTTGTGCAATCAGTAACCTTTTCCTACAGATGAATCTTACCTGTAACAGTAAAAAAGAAAACTTTTGGCACAAATCATAGACAGTTGAAGCTTCTGTAAAACTCTCCAGAATATCTCCAACCACACACTTAGAAGCAACACTTAGATGAAGCAACCAAGCTATATAGAGTTTTGCCTGGAGTCATAAAGTTACAGGCTAGGCAATTCAGGCAACGATAGCAACCCACATCTAGTCTGTGTACCAGAAAGTCTTCGTTTTCTGCCTTTTCTATAACTCATGATCAGTGTTGGTTGGAAGGGAGAGGGTAGAGTTGGGTCTTTAGTACCAGTAATCCAATTCTTAATGTGCCTGATTTTGAATGATATGCTTGAGGGAAGATACATCTATCAGACATCCTGATGGCTCACATTCTCTGTGATTGTATATATTACAGTCACAAGCTCACATTGTAAATTGTCTTGAAAAAAAGTCTACAAAACTCCAGAACTACATTAAGCTGTAGTTGTTCTGGTGACTATAGTGTCCCTTTAAGAAAGCATTATTGATCTGTCTAGTGATCACTTTAAAGGGACACTATAGTCACCCAGACCACTTCAGCTCAATGAAGTGCTCTGGGTGACATGTCCCTCAGGTTTTAACCCTGCAGCTGTAAGCATAGCAGTTTCAGAGAAACTGCTATGTTTACATTAGGGGTTAAGCCAACCTCTAGTGGATGTCTTCCAAATTTTGCATCCATCGCGCAGAAATCCTTTCCTATGGACTGTTTGAATGTGTGCGTGGCACTTGCTGCGCATGCGCATTCCGCTCCAGTCAGGAGCTGACGTCGGCGGGGGAGGAGAGGTCACCAGCGCTGAGGGAGCCCGGCAGTGGATAAAAGTAAGCTGCTGAAGGGGATTTAACCCCTTCAGCACCACGGGAGGGGGACCCTGAGGGTGGGGGCACCCTCAGGGCACTAATGTGTCAGGAAAACCGCTCCCAGATATCAATGAAATGACAGGAGCAGTTGAAAAAAGGCTTTATTAAAGTGTTTGCCAACTAGCCCCTCCTGTATTATTATATACTGGTTAGCATATATAAGCGAGTCAGCAAAAGGGAGATGGCAGGCAAATATCCTAAATAGATGTACATTTTATATACGTTATATAACAATAGCAGTTAAAGTAACCAACATTTAAGTTCCAAGATAGTGATAAAAGATACAAAATAATATCTCATATGGATACCCTTAAGTCAGGGCTCGACAAAGGCTCGTCCTGCCTTCATGGCTGAGATAATCTTTAAGATCTCAGCCAGGGACGTATTAGCCGCGAGGCAAACAAGGCATTTGCTGCGATCACGTGCTCCCCCTTCTCTATTTGTTCATAGTGTTGCTAGCCTTTAGTTTCTTGCCGAACCACGTGACCGCGGCAGCCCGCGATCACGTGCCTTTGTTAACATTCCCTGCCCCTCTGCTGGTGCCGATCTAGACGACCGCCCAGCATACAGTTCCCATAAGCCTTTTCAGCTGTACCACGTGACCGCGCGATGGCGCGATCACGTGATTTTATATGTTTCTAATGTATCCTATCTGCTTATCTTAATTAATGCTCGTTTTAAAGTTTCCATTACAATATTAAATTACAATAACTTGTATGTTATTTTAAAGATATTTTTTTCAAATCTTTTTCTTTTTTCTTATACTCCCATGTTCTAATAATGACGTCATTTTGGCGCCAAACTTTGAATTTGCATATGTTTTGACAGTTTATATAAGCATTCATGTACCAGTATGTTTTTTCCTTTATTGCCAATTGAAAAAGCCCTGTGAGGTGAAACGCGTTTTGGCTACATTCATATTTTATAGATTCTGTTATTGATAATAAAGTTATATTGTTATTATTTATATATTCTTTTATTATATAATACTATTTTTTATTTTCTGAATCCTGGTACCTGTTATATTGGAACAACATATGCTCAAGAATCCTAGGTGGGGATAATACCACCTACGCTATCAAAGTGAGCAGTATATCCTGCTCATACGCATGTGAGTATTCTACTGCTCTTATTATTTTATCCTTCTCACTTATTCAGTGAGCACTATATTGTTTTTTATTTTTTTTATTTCTCCATATACCGAGGAGTTTTCTTATATCTTCGCCACCTATATCCTACCAGTGGAGGATCAACGCCACTGAACGCTACTATCACCTGAGCAATTTTATGCTCAGAAATAGGTGAGTGGATTACCTGCTATAATATTTGCCTTCTACTCATCTGTTGTATTACCATCTGCACTATTGGAGTCTTTCTGTTTTCTCTACATGTCCATATACCCACCATCAAATTGAAATACCGCTAATACAAGAAGATTCGGCTAATCTTTGGACTCTTGGACTTTTTTCAGACCTCAGTATTACCACAGGTTTTATTAAAGACTTTTACATTATTGGGATAATTTTTTTCCCTGTTTTATTTATATTTTTGTCTTATCCAATTTTATATTTACTTCTATTTCCATTACCATATAGCGCGACCTATATATTTTCTTTTGTTCCTCCTGTATTATTATATACTGGTTAGCATATATAAGCGAGTCAGCAAAAGGGAGATGGCAGGCAAATATCCTAAATAGATGTACATTTTATATACGTTATATAACAATAGCAGTTAAAGTAACCAACATTTAAGTTCCAAGATAGTGATAAAAGATACAAAATAATATCTCATATGGATACCCTTAAGTCAGGGCTCGACAAAGGCTCGTCCTGCCTTCATGGCTGAGATAATCTTTAAGATCTCAGCCAGGGACGTATTAGCCGCGAGGCAAACAAGGCATTTGCCTTGGACGGCATTTTCCAGGGGGGCGGCAAAAAAAGCCGCCCCCAAATGCCCAGGGCAAATGCCTTGTTACAAAAAGATATGGAAGGGCTGCGCCAAATAAGGGTAGATAGTCCAGTAAAGTATTGCTAGGGTGCCAATAGATGGTCTAGGATACTTGATAGAGTTCCTCTGTGGATGCGTCTAGTGTAGACCGTTCCGTATATGTAAATACAAGAGAGGTAGAGGCGACTAATGGTATAGTATGAAAGTTCAGGGTGTGATAGGTAACAAAAAGTAGAGAACTCACATTCAAGAGAGCTATGGCCAGCTCTGGTGTGGATTGCGTACAGCGGTATAATCCCCGCTTATGGGATATGTAGGGAGGGGGTCTCCGTCAACACCGTCTGGTAGTCCAGAACTCGGAAAAGAAAGACAGAAAGCAACAATAGTGCTCTCAATTTTGATGGGGATTGTTCCCCATACATCTAAATTTCGTCAAGGAGGCTAGGTAGTGAGATGAGTGGTTTCGTAAGTGTCAATATCACATAGTCTGCGAATAGCCCCGCCTTGTATTCCCGTTTCCCCACCTGTATCCCGTTTATGTTTGCGTTCTTCGGTCTTCCACTATGGGGTCCAAAGCTCCCGATCTCAGGGTCCACTACCTCTCCCACAGCCGTGTGTATTTCGTAGGCTTGTCGGTCATCATAATAATCTGCCATTTGTAGCCTAAGAGGCCCGATCGCTTCGGAGCCTCTCCTGCATGCGACCGGTTAGCATGGCGGTCCGGCCCCGCCCCCCCTGGGTACATATTCTTGGGTAGACAGAATTTGAGGTTGATTGTGTACACTTCATTCTAAAGGGTTGTTCCTTTGTCGTTCCAGCTTTGTTTTTCTTGTGGGGTGGCAGCTGCTTGTTGTTCCCTCAAGAACTTGAGATCGGTGGGTAGGGTTTGCATAGTGTAAATAGGAGTCTCTTTAACGGACACTCTTCTGCCCACTTCCTGACACTTGCGCGTTGCATCCTTATCAGCCCGGTAGGCTAAATGATTGCCATGTGCTTCTTCTGAATTCCATCTCCCCTGGGCCTTTACCTTCAGTATGGCCACCTCTTCAGGAAGCAGTAAGGCATCCATCAATTCTTTGATATCTGCACCATGTTTCACTGGCGTACCCGTTGTTGTAAGGAAATGTCTTGTTTTCCAGATTAAACCAAAATCATGTGCCACACCCAGGGCATATCTTGAGTCTGTGTAAATATTAACACACTTCCCTTCAGACATTTTACATGCTACCGTGAGGGCTATTAGTTCAGCCTCTTGTGAAGATGCTTGAAGTATTTGGTCTTCTGTGCTGACAGCAAATCCGGTATGATATTGTCCCTGTGTGTCTCTAGAGCCATCCACAAACTGGGTGAAGTCAGGATCTGGTAGAGCAGCCTCGTGCACTGTTGGGAGATGGGTTGTCTCCATTTTCATCTGTTCAGAACAATCATGAGGGTCATCTGGGTCCTGTTCTGTAGGAGGTCCTGTTCTGTAGGTCTTCACATATTTCTGTGTGGTATCGGGGGTAACCAACTGTTTTGCAATTTATAGTTCTTTTAGTGACCCCCTCCAATGTGAGTTGTTCTTGAGTTGCAGTACTCCATGTTTTGGCCATTGGGCCAAGTTCTTTCCATGAGCGATCTGAAGATTTGGTGAAAGAGATATGAGGAATAGCCACCTTCCAATGGTGGTATAAATGTGATACTTCCATGGGCAGGTAGACTAAGATGACAAGATTTCCTTTGGAGCCACGAAACAAGTCTGTCAGGGTGATACGTATTTCCAGAAGGCTGAATAATTCTTCATAGTATGGGTCAGGTCCTGGGGTGTACCTGAACCACAAGGTGCAATGCAAGTAGTCCTCAGGCTGTTCATCATGTGGAACTGTGGGCTTTTCCACTAGGAGTTCAATATGAACATCAGGATTTATGTCCAGACTGTACCAGTATTGTGGCACTCCCCCCTTGGGAAGTGGCAGAAGAGTGGCCGGATTCAGAGAGTAACATCTTTGCAGAGTGACATTATCAGGCAAGAGGAGAGAGCCCTGGAGACATAGATGTCTTTGTGATGAGAGATGTTTTGGCTGGACTTGATTCAGGATAGCTGTGATATCCTGAGAAGCAAGGACAGTTAGTTTATTTCCTAGAACAAAGTCATTAGTCTTGTCCAAGAGGGCATTGGCAGCAAATACAGCACACAAACAGGAAGGCCCTCCTCTGGCCACTGTATCCAGCATGCATGAAAAGTAACCAATAGGGCACTGAAGGTAACCATATGACTGCGGAAGAACCCCTGAAGCATGGCCCATCTTCTCAGAGACAAAAAGTTTGAATGGCTTTGGATAGTTAAGGAGGCCCAAAGCTGGCACTGAGGAGAGGGCGTAGAAACATTTACGTTTGGAGACAATGAAAATGGTTCAGTCTTTAAAGCATCATCCAAGATCTGCAGTATGTGATGAGGCCTAAGAAGGCATGAAGAGCCTGATGTGTACATGGGAGATAGAGGCCTGTAATGGCGCGTACTTTGTCTCTTGTTAGATGACTGGTGCGATGGGAAAGACAATGTCCCAAGAAGACCACAGAGGGCCGGCACCACTTATGTTTCTTCCTGGAGGCCTTGCAACCTTCTTTAGCGAGGAAACAGAGGAGATCTTCTAAATTTCGTTCGGCAGTTGTGAAGTCCTCTAACGTACTACAACCACGTCTGGATGAGATTTTTGCCGTGGTTCTAGTACGTTAGACATACCTTTTGCAAACTGAGTTGGTGAATTTTGTGCACCCTGAGGCATGACAGTCCAAGTATACTGCTGGCGATCATGTGTAAAAGCAAACAGATATTGGCAGGAAGGATCCAAAGGCACGCTGAAAAAGGCATTTGCAAGATCAGCCACAGTGAAGAATTTGGCTGTTGGAGGGACTTGTGACAACAGCGTATGTGGATTAGGGACAACGGCTGTATCTCTGTTAGTGACATCATTGACAGCGCAGAGGTCCTGTACCATGCGGTATTGGTCAGGTTTATCTTTTTCAGTTTTCTTCTTCACTGGAAACAGAGGGGTGTTACATTTTGATACACACTTCACCAGAACACCTTTTGCTAGCAGGCTTTCAACTTGTTTGGAGATGGTGAGGGCTTGTGCAGGTTTCAAGGGGTACTGAGGTCTCCGTGGTGGATTTGCTCCCTCCATTAGTGTGACAACCACAGGTGGGACTCGATCCAATGTCATCTGGGCCTGTGGACCAAAGTTTGGTTGGGACCCTACCTAGGGCACTGGGGGGCATCTGGGACCCTTACCTCCTCGGGCGGGGATGTCATGTGTAGTAGTAAAGGCAGAGAACAGAAGTATCATTGCTAGAAAGAGGGGTTAATAACAACCTGGCCATCAGCGGTGAAGGAGATAGAAGCTTGTAGACGGGACAGAACATCAGCACCTAACAGGTTAATAGGACAAGTAGAAGAGACAACAAAATGTGAGCGAATGTCTGAACCCACTCGGAAGAGCTTAGTTATTGGGGTATTTCAAGGGGTGCTGTCAACACCTATGCAAGAGACATCAGTGTCAGACAGGTAAGAAGAGTCAGGCAGGTCTTGTTCTCTGAGAACACTGCGGGCTGCGCCTGTGTCAACTAAAAAGGTATTAGGATGACCTTCTACAGGAAGGATTACTGTAGCAAGAGGCCCCCCTTTATCCCCTGTAGACACTGCCATGACAGGGGTGTTAGACACAGGTTTGCCAGTTACCTATCGTAAGAGATTTAAATGAGACTGGTCAGGGCCAGTGTAGTGACGTGTGGGTGTGGTAGAGTGACTGGCCTGTTGGGTTTGGCGTGTAGGGCAATGTTGGATAGGTGCAGGACGGGCATCTTGTTGATAATCATCTGTACCATAATTATCAGGGGAATTGTGAACATAGCTGGGGGTTGGAGGGTGATTATCAGCTGGAGGTGGCTGATGCGCAGCTTGGGGATATTCCTGGGGAGGGTAGTACGGAGTATATGTCTGAGGGTGTGCCTGTGGAGGGTAACCAGGCTGGGGTAACCATGTGTGATTACAGGGGCGTTGGGATACATAAGATAGCCAAACACGGGATTAGGTGTGCTGTTGTCTAGGCACCCTGGGGTGTGGACAATCCTTTCTGAAATGACCTGGTTGATTACAATTAAAGCATGTGCTGGTCTGAGGCCTGGGAGTGTGTGACATGGGCTGCCCCTGTGTAGCTGGCAAGGGGTATCCTACAGGAGCTGGAGCAGGTCTAATTGCAGGATTATAAAAGGAGAACATAAGGGGATTACTTTTCCTTGTGGGTGGATGGAGTGCAGATTTGAGGCCTTTAGCAACCAGGAGGAATAATCCTATACTCTGGGCAGGAAAGTACTAAACCTTTCCTGATGGCTTCCTTAAGGCCTGCAACAAAGGCAGCGGATAACATCTGGGTATGTGCCTTGTTGTATACACTGAACAGTAGATCAGAGAAAGTTTGAGTTAACAGTGAATGGTATTTCTTTACAGACTCAAGTTTGTCTTGTATAATGTCATTTATACAGGTGGCTTGGTCAGCTAATTTTTCGTAGCTGGCAACATCTGGTGAATTAGGGGCTTGAGCGGCTGGAACACTTTAGTCGGGGGAGCCGACATTAATAACCTGGGGAGTAACTAATTGGGATTTAGTGAGATGAAAGCCTGACGCTGCAGGAGAAACGCCTGCAGCGTGAGGTTGCCCCAATGCAATTCGAACCAATTATCATGATGGGGTAACTGGGGGCCGCCATGAAGGAGGCAGGGACAGGGACTGGATTGGGTGAGGGACCGGGAGGGGAGATGGCAGGAAGGATGCTGGGAGGGGAAGTGACAACCATAACAGGAGCCGGATATGACGGGGCCGGAATAGACAGAGGGGAGTAAACAGGGAGGGCGGAAATGAGCTATGAAACATCAGGGGAGGGAGGGACTACAGGGTTAGAGATGGGAAGGAAAAACTGAGCCTGGGATAGGAGCAGTGACTGGGAGGGAAGAGGAAGGTGCGGGAGCGGAGGGATTGACACAGGGAGGTGGGACGGGTGAACAAATGACAGAGGGAGATGCGACAGGGAAAATGACGGGGAGCGGGAATAGAGGGAATGACGGAGGGGGGTGGGAGAGGGGCGGGAACAGAGGGAATGACGGAGGGAGGTGGGAGCGGGGCCGGAACAGAGGGAATGACGGAGGGAGGGGCGGGAACAGGGAATGACAGAGGGAGGTGGGAGAGGGGCGGGATAATCAGTCTGCCCCTAGGATGGGGTACAGAGGGGTGGGTACTGAGGAGACTATGCCAATTGGAGATGGTTACTGGGCAGTGGGTGGGGGGGTGGTGAGGCTAGGTTTTTTCCCATTGTGTTGGGTGCCATCATAGGGCAGTGGCTGGGGAGCTTCGAGAGATGAATCAGCATTGCAAACATTTCTATGATATACATAAATCAGTTGTCCTTCGAATTCCTCCTCAAACCAACCTTCCCGCTTGAGTCCTCTTGCTACCCGATACCAAGCCTCTAGAGCTTTCATTAACCCATTATCCAACAACAAGCCCTCCTTATCAATCAATAGTTTCCTCTAAAATTCTGGTTGTAATCTACCACTTGGGGACATTTGAAAGCCACAAATCTTCTTTATTTTTAACATAGCCTCTCCTCCTGCTCTCTCCTT